ACACACACACACACGCGCGCGCACACACACACACACACACACACACAGACAGACACAGAGAGAGAGAGAGAGAGAGAGAGAGAGAGAGAGAGAGAGAGAGAGAGAGAGAGAGAGAGAGAGAGAGAGGCATTCGAAGACGGGAATGTGCAAACGCCCGTTTCATACGGCAATACTCACACGTAAGATTTTTCTGTGGAAGCGAGCAATCGCACGGACGAGAGAAAGAGCGAGAGAGAGAGGGAGAAAAAAAATACTGAGCAGATCAGCTCACAAACTATACTTGATCTTATCTAAAATGCCGAGAATGGTATAGGGGAGAAAGAGAGAGCTGTCTTTGTGTTCAAAGCCCCACTGACCGTTGGCTTTTCTCCTGTTGTTCTGTGCTATCCTATATACGCCTGTCTGCCGACGCAACAGGAACGTTGCCCGCCAATTTTTCAATTCCAACCCGACGAAAGGATCGTGGCCTCCTGCTCCTCCAGAAATCAACCGGATAGGAAAGGACTGTTTGCCCTCCTTTCAATTTCTGCTTTCCAAACTAAGAAGGAAGTGCTTGGCCTCCTTTCACCGCTCACTCACACACACACAAACAAAACACGAACGAATCGTGTGTGTGTGAGAGAGGGAGTGTGTGGGTGTATGCGTGCGGGGTGTCGGTAAGTGGGGTGCAGGTCCTCTTGTTTCCCTTCCGCGGTGCACGCGGAACGGGAAGACACTTCTGCGCGCTCAGGCCGGACGGTGATGCATTTGTCACCGTAAAAAGGGCCAGGTTCGCGATGTCAGAGGGCGGAGATGGGCCCCGCGGGGCCTGGAAGTAACTCGTGACCGGCGGTCTTCGGCCACGTCAAGTCTTGGACGTCATTCGCGCCAACCTCTCAGGGGAATATTCACTTCACATTCGTTCACTGACATACCTCTAGGGCGCGGGCTGGCAGCCCGTTCGCATGGAAGGCGGCTAGGGGCCTGCAGGTTGGGGGGAGTGACGGGAGTGACGGAGGAGGCGAAGACCTGCAGGGCCCAGCGTAAGTCCAGGGGGGCGGGCCAGCGCGAAGCGTTCAAAGTGTGAAAATTGGGTAACCGCGGGTGCGCAGGGAACGCAGCCCTAACGGCCTCATTTAAATATTAAAAAAAAATTGCAGTAGCTAGGGCACACATTGATCGCCTGGAGCGGTCAGTCATGGTTGTCCTGAGTGAACGAGGCAACGAGGCTACCTCCCATCCCATGCTCACGTCAATACTACTAATGCACCCCCTATCTCTATTGTCTACCGCGTGGGCGCAGGGAACGCAGCCCTAAGGTAGCCAAATCAATGAGACTGATGAGCTAACACAAGAGAGAGAGAGAGAGAGAGAGAGAGAGAGAGTTTTGTTCCATTTATTGTTATGAGTGTGAGAGAGAGAAAGCAATAGATAGAGAGGGAGGGGGGGCCTACCAGAGAGAGAGAGAGAGAGGGGGGGGACGGGGACTACTC